TATTAATTTATTATTATATGTATATATTATTATTTATACTGAGTGATATAAAATTTAATATCTTCAAAATTTATTCACAAAATATTTTTTATTCTTTCATATAACGAAATTATATTCATATAATGGGAATTTTGATTATGATGAAGATTATTAATATTTTTTACTAAATATTTCTTATTAAATTTTAATAAATACGCTGCCAGAAATTAAAATTGCAACACCAAAAAATAGATATTCGATTAAGAACGAAATTCTATTATCATTCATGGAACAATATAAATAAACGATTAAAATTTCAGAAATTTATGTTTAGTATGAACTTTTAAATCTTTGTGGATGGACAGTTCTGTTTCTCCCCTTTTATTTAGTAAATTACTTTGATTTTTATGAAACTTGGTCTATGGGGTAATTTGATAATGCTTTATTCGAATCTGAGATTAAAAATGAAAATTCAAAATAATGGATCCAGTATGGGGGGACAGAATTTATAAAAATAATTTGATTATGACATAAAAAGTTTTAGGAAATTCGTAATATCAAATGCAAAGTAACATCAAGTTTTCAGTTTTGATTTATAAAATATTAGATTGTATAAAATATTAAGATTATTAGAGTATCATAAAATTTAATATTTTTCAACAAATTGTGCAATAAATCTTTTTTAAAAAATCTTAATCATTTATTCACATCGTTCTCCCTAACATATTTATAGATTTTCATATTAAAATGATATTTTCTTCTTGATGTTGTAATTTATTTCTGGCAGTACACATTGTAACTTTATATACATATATTGAAAATAAAAATAATTAATTGAGACATTCCATACAAAAACAAGCAGGCGTTGTTCCACTCCAAGATCCACTTTGCAAACAGATTCTAGTTTCGTTTCCCTCCATATAAAACCCACGTGGACAACTATAATGTGCTACACCACCTACACTATGAGTCGACACTTGCGTTGATAGCACACCAATTTTCTCCGGATCTCTACACCGTATTTCTGTAACATTGTAATTAATACTTTATACAATTTAACGACTCATTGCCATCTCTTAATTCCGCTAAGCGAATATATTTTCAAATAAAATCATTAATATAAGATCAAAGTTAATTTAAAATCAAAACATAATAAGATTTCGTTATTTATCTTTCACAATATCTTTCACAATCTTTTGGAGAATTAAGTATCTTCGACCGACCTTTACAAACGGGGGTATCACTGCTCCAAGTGCCATTTTCAAGACATAATCTTCTAGCAAATCCATCTAACTCAAAATTGCCATCGCACTCATAAAGTGCAGCTGCTCCATAATACGTTGCATTCGATGTCAATGTATAACGTCCATGTTGAATGTGTTCGGGTTTACCACAATCGACATCTGTCGAAACGAACGCTTGTATTAGATATTTTACATTTATTCGCATGTAAATATCGTGAACTGATTCTTCGATTACGAGATTGTGACAAATATTGTATAATTTATAATATTTCACAGTATATTACCGTTTTAAACAATCAGTTATTTGATTATAAAGAATAAAAACGAGTTTCTATAAGTCGTCAACAATTATCATTTATTCATTATTGTAACTATATAATTTAACATATAAACAGCTAAAATGGACTTTTCGATGAATAGGATATTTAGAGATACTTACAGACGCATTGTGGTACTTCGCCACTCCACTTTCCATTCTCCTCGCAGGTAGATAAAGGTTCTCCAACTACTTTGTATCCTCTTTCGCATCTATACTTCGCCAGGGCCCCAATCTTGTATGAAGTCGCGCCCGTGTTCGAATTCTCCGCGGTTCCCGTGCGAATCAATGTTCTTCCGTACATTCGATCATTTCCAGTAACCGAGAGAATTCCATGTTCCGCCAATACGGGCTCCGGGCAACGAATTTCTAAGATAGAAAATATAATACAAATGTACATACAAATGTACATACAAATTTTTATGATTGATTCTTCTCGATCGCTTAATTCCAAATTCTACTCTGTTTAGTCTAATTGTAAGTGCAATTACCTTCGCATTTCGGAGTAGCGTCACTCCATTGACCATTATCGAGGCAGTATCTCCTCGAAATTCCATTCAGTCTGTAATTCCTTGTACAACTATACGTGATTTCGCTGCCAAGATGAGTCGTATCGTTCGCGTAGTCCACTGCACCATTTAAAATTGGAAGAACCTTGCCACAGTTGATATCTATACGATAATGATTTCAATCAATAATTTTAGAAAAGTATTATCACAAATTAAATTGTCAAGGAAATATATAGGATGTCTGGTAATGATAAAGACTCAGTTTAGTCCGCTCAGAAGCATTACGAACATTATTCAGAGAATTACCAAACAACCTGTATATTAAATATCAGTATATATTCTATGTAGAAGTCACTAAAAAAGTCTGTATTCGGGGTAAATATTGCTTATTCTACAAGGTATAAAATTCAAATTGACTTTTATTAACATTTGAAATATTCTGTTTTAATTTTTGATAAAAGCGCTAATTTTAATTTATCAGAATTACATAATATATCTAAAAAAAAATGTTAAATATTAAATAATTTTTAATTTCTAAGTGTAGTAATGAAATGAAATAGCTAATATTGCTTGAAATCTGATTCAATTATAATATACTCCTATTTGCTTATGCTAATAAGCTATCTCCGAAGGAGATCTCGTTTAGGATGAAGGCTATCGACAATAAAGACACACACACGCACACGCACACATATACACTTGATTTAAGTTACTCCTTTCATAATTCAACAAGATTATATTATATATTGCGAACGGTTTCGATGGAAAAGAGATATGAGAAAAATGACTTACACTCGCAGATCGGAACTTCTCCCGTCCATTCGCCGTCTTTGCCACACGAATGTCTCGCTTCTCCGTGAAGCAAATAGCCCACGTCGCAGTGATATTCGATAACACTGTGAACGTTTAAATCATATCCTACTACGTATCCTCCGGTGGGCACTTCTGGTTCTTCACATGTTATTACTGCAAAAAGATATTTATCTTCTTAAAATTGTGCTGAACTAAATAAACGAAGGCAACAGGTTTTTTTGTTTTCTCACTAAAATTGTACTTTTTGTAAAATTATTTCTGTCGTTATAAAATAAATTCATTTTTGTTTAAGTAAGCTAATTGCTACGTAAAATTATAAATAAATAATAAGACAAACATATATGTTCTCTGTGTGAAAAAAAAATTATTCCTGTTTGTAAATTGATCGTAGCGTTAATTTTTATGAAAATAGTTAAATTATTTTTTGCATAGGAAGGAGTCTCAGTCTCTTCGGCAAATTAATTTTTAGGTAACATGTTTAGTAAATGATTCTTACGCTCGCATGATGGTGTATCGTGACTCCACTTGCCCTCTTTGGTGCACTCTTGCTTTCCTTCGCCTACCAACCAATAATCCTGTTGACATGTGTATACAGCTAAGCTGCTTACCGTGGTCGTACCGTTAATTAGAACAATGGTTCCAAACTCGATTTGGGCCGGAGCCCCGCAGTCAACAAATCGACATTGCGGCGCTTTGCCAGACCATTCGCCACCGACATTGCACGTGAGGACCTTCATTATCAATCCAAGAATCGCAATTATAAATTAACAAAATATTAGATATTATATTACATTATTTATAACTTATTTAATTTAATATAAATTATACATAGAAAAGAATTGCCAAATGCGTACTACTTAAGCAATTTTTTCTTATATTTTCCATGGTGCTGATTTGTGCGCAAGTGAACATTGGAAATTGTAGCTTGATGTTTCAGGCATCTATATTTATACATGTTTAATTAACAAGAATTTAATTTATGATGAATTATCTTTTTGTAATATGTTGCAAAAGACAATTTAGACAACCAATTATTAAAATCATATCTATAGGTTTTCTAAATCGTATTTTCTTTGAAAGTATCAAATTTTTATTATGAATGAAAATAATTAAAAATACATTAAATTGATAAAAAATC